CCGTGGAGGGTCTGGGAGACGGGGGTCACACGCCAGCGGGGGCCATGCTGTGCACCGCCGTGGAGGGTCTGGGAGACGGGGGTTCCCTGCTCTTCAGCAGAACGGCCACCACGGGGTTTTTTTCGTTTATTTATTTGTGTGTGTGTTTAAGTGTTGATTTTTTTAATCGAGGCATTATTTACAACTGGGAAAATACACAGATGTTAAGTGTAATAAGTTTTGACATAAACCTGTGTAACCCACAATCCAATCAAGATACAGAGCGTTTTTATCACCCAGAAAGTTTCCCGTGCCCCTCTGTTGTCAGTTCGAGTATCCTGGCCATGTATCCCCGGCACTGCGGCCTGGCGAGTTCTGCCGTGCGTAGGGTAGGAGGAGCTGGCTGCCCGTGCTCTCAGAGGCTCCCTTGGCCGTGCTCGGTGGAATCATCTGAGGGCACGCTCTGGAGGGCTGAGGCACGTTCTCCGCTGTAGACTGGAGAGCGCATAGGGTGTGTTCTCCCCACTGGCCCGTTTCTCACCGGGCACCAGTGTTCAGTGTGGCGGGGAAGGACACGCCAGTCTGTTTCCCACATCAGGAGGATTCTGTTGCACGCTGGGATCCCTCCACAGCATTTTGAAAGACTCAGCAAGGGGGTGCAGATGGTGCCTCGTTCCTGGCAGCCTCGGGCACGTGCTGTACAAAGGGCAGACTCAGCCTGTACCGTTTCTGGGCCCCCCACCCTAGCGGCCCAGAACGATCAGAGGGTCTGGGAGTTGGGGGGCGCCCGTCCCTTACAAGTGCTTCTTGTCGTAAAAGTCACGTCACAGTGCCGAAGAGTGAAAAGCTGGATACAAATCACGAAGAATCGGTTACCACCTTAACTGGCCGCCCGTCTGTGAGGGGCTGGTCACGTAGAAGGAAATGTCGGGAGGGGCAGGGCTAGTGGGAGAGCCAGCTAGACGACACAGGCACACAGGCCGCTCCAGGGAGCGCGTGGAGGCCTGCATGGGGGCGGCAGCCAGACAAGCCCAGCCTCAGTGTTTCTCTGGCCTTCTCTCTGCAGCCAGCTTCATCTCCCCGGAGAAGGGCCGGAAGATGTTGCCAACTCCCGTCGGGACAAACAGTGGCACCTCCTTGCTGGGCCCCAGCTTGCTGGATGGAAATTCACGGGACTCCTTTGTGTCCAGGTCCCTGGCCGATGTCACGGAGGTAAGTGCTGCTGTGCGGTGCCGTCTCATGCCAGAACTTGACCTTCCAGCCCATGTTCCTGAGGCTGCCAATCCCTCCTGCAGACTGTCTGGTCAGGCCTCGCAGTGGGCTGAGAACCGCTCACCAACAGTGAAAAATCCAGAGAGAGCACATAAAACTCCCAAGTTTCTGCCTTCTCTTGAGAATGGGAAGATCTGACCATACTGGCCAGCATTTGTTCCCAGGTGATGTCAGATGACAGGTCCTGAGTAGCAGCAGGCCCCTGAGGGCATGGAAGCATGGGAACCCTGGCGCCAGAGGCAGCGTCTCCTCTCTCATTTCACCAGCTGTGCAGCTGTGGGCCAGTAACGTCGCTTCTCTCTGTCTGCTTTCCTGACTTGTAAAGAGCAGTAGGTGGTACTGTCATCACTGCTCCCCATGTGTCCTGATGGTGGGGTATCTTTGGCAGCAGCTCCCTGGGCTACACTCTACCATGGGCTTGGCTGAGGTCGGGGAAGCAGGTTCTGCAGGAAAGGCACAGCCACGCCCTGGGCACCTCTCTGCGGGCGCTGGGTGAACAAAACAAAGGTGCCTGCTCCCTGAGGCTTCTATTCTAGTGGAGGTGGCAGACAAGAAGCAGCGCCCACAGTGACTTCTGCGGATTCCCCGGAGGCCTTGTTCCTGTCCCTGCGTCTCTGCTCGTCTTCCACTTGCCGCCTCGCTCCTCGTATCCGCCCACTGTCTTCATGTTTCTCGAGCACCCTAAGCCTGTTGCCGCCTCAGGCCCTTTGCACTTGCTGTTTCTCCTGGCTAGAATGCGTTTCTCCCCCATCTGGATGTGCCTTCCTCCCACATGTCTGCTCAGAGCCCACCCCTTGCCCAGCCCTTCTCTGCCTCCCTGCCCCCGTGGCACACGCTGGCCCCTGGCCCTGCTGGCCTTTCTTCCAGTCACACTTTGTTTGCTGCACTCTCTTTCTGTAATGATTGTCCCCCAACCTCTCGTAAGTGTCACGAGGGAGGGGACCACACCCAGCAGCACACCACACCCTAGGCTCTCTGGGGACACACGTTGAAAGAAGGGGGGTTTCAAAACAGAGGCACTTCTGAAGTCCCCAGAGTGCTGGGCTGCCATTCCAGGGCTAGATTCCAGCAGAGGGTCTACGTGAGAGTCTGGTCTTCACTGCAGAGAGACACCGGGTCCCGGCCGTGGCGGCCTTCCACTGGGTCCTGGCCGTGGCAGCCGGCTGCCAGCTGACGCAGTCTTCTCCTGACCTTTGTCCTGCAGGTTGTGGACTCCCAGCTGGTGTGTATGATGAATGAAAACAGCATTGATTACATTTCTCGGTTCAATGACCTGGCCCAAGAGCTGTCCATCACCGAGCCCAGCCGCCGGGAGGTCCTGTTTGATGGCGGTGGGCCCCCCATCGGCGACCTGTCCCAGTGACTGAACCTCCAGCTGCAGAGGAGGGCTCACGGGGCTGGTGGCCCTCAGCTGTAGTGGGGGGTAGTAGTCCTCTTCAAACGAGAAAAACCACCAACCAAAGCTCAGGCCCCCCTCCAGAGGAGTTCGAAACAGAGACAGCTCTTCGCCTGGAACGGGCAGCGCGCAGGAACAGCCGGCCGGGAGCTGTGCTCTGACCGGCAGAGGGCAGCCTGGGATGAGGACCAGTGATCTGGAAGGCTGAAGATGGAGGTGGCTGTGGCCTTGGGGCCGTGTTGGGATCTGTAGAGCAGTGACATTTCGGTGACGCTTCTTGCTCAAGTTTGCTGTGCGGGGCGTTTCCGCGGGCTTCTTTCTGAGAGAACGGAGCGGGTCTGCCTGGGTGCTGCCATTGCTTCTTGGGGAGCATGAGACCGCCCTATCTGCAGGGGGCTCTGCCACTGCTGCTTTCTTCCCACCACACCTCTGCCACTCTGCTGGCTCTCTGTGTGGGGTGCTGACGGGAGGCATCAGGACTGGGGCTCGGCACAGCCTGCTGGCTTTCTGTGTGGGGTGCTGACAGGAGGCATCAGGGCTGGGGCTCGGCGCAGCCTGCTGGCTGGCTGTGTGGTGCTGACGGGGGACAGCAGGGCTGGGGCTCAGTGCAGCCTGCAGGCTCTCTGTGTGGGGTGGTGACGGGGGGACAGCAGGGCTGAGGCTCGGCGCAGCCTGCTGGCACCTGCACCCTGAGGCAGCGGGCACTTCAGAGGGTGCTCTGACCAAGGGCAGCAGAGGGTCCCAGGGCAGCATAGCTGGCGCCGTTCCCCCGAGTCCTGGCCCCAGCCTGATGCATCCCCATCTAGAGGCTTCGCTCTGACTGCTTTAGCAGGAGAGAATCATGTTTTAGGCAGGTCATGCACACTTTGTAAAAAGCCTGCTAAGCTGGTTGAAACGTGCTTTTCTTGTGTTGGAGAATTAGAAGACGTTGAAGAGAAAGGAGTCCCTGGTTTAGCTGGTTTCCTTCCTGTGTCGACCTGTGCGTTTCTTCTAGGTGGTCTAAGGTGGTGTTTCTCGCAGTGGGGATGATCCTGAGCGCTGACTTGACCATGGCTAATGCCGCCTGATAAGCTCTTCAGCTTTTGCCGTGTGACTGTTGGGCATCTGAGACCAGGCTCCTTTGCAGGGGTATTTTCTCCTCTTCAGCATCTCCTCTTCCTCTCTTCGGCGCTGGTGCAGGGTGTGCCGTGAGGCGTTCTGTGAGCACTCTTTGGCCTTTGCCCCGTGGCCTCTGTTTTTCTTGTTCCTGCACAGGGAATGCAGGCAAGGGCTGTGACTTCTGGATGCAGTCAGAGCTCACCACGGCCCTTCGGTGGCCTCCATGAGCCCCCTGGGGGAGTGGCCAGTGGGGACCCTGCAGATGGTCCAGCAGCTAGGCTTTCTCCAGAATAGAGTCCAGGGAGGCCCAGGCACATGAGTCACCGCCAGCCATGGACAGTGTGTCTGGGAGCCGTCACTGTGGTGGTGGGCAGGTCACATCTGCGTTTCCACCTCACCTGCTGCTTCACGCTCCGTCGGCAGCCAGGATTGGTGTGGCCTTTTAAACCCACCTGCAACTGTCTTTGCTCCCCCTTGGCCATGGAGCAGTGGCCCTCAGGGTCAGGCCTGGTCTCTCCACTCCCTGGCTGCTCTGCCTCTCCTCAGCAAAGTGAGCCAGTGGGAACGGGCATGGAAAGGTTTTCCACGTGTACGAGCAGGGGACGCTCTTGATCCTGTGGTCTCCCCAGCCAGTCACAGCCTCTTTAGACTGCAGACAGGGCCATACACTCATCTGGCAGGGGAGGGCCATACACCCAGCTGGCAGGGAAGGGCCATACACTTATCTGGCAGGGGAGGGCCATACACCCAGCCGGCAGGGGAGGGCCATACACCCAGCCGGCAGGGGAGGGCCATACACCCAGCCGGCAGGGGAGGGCCATACACACAGCCGGCAGGGGGAGATGAAGGTGATGGTTGGCCTCCATGCAGCTGCTTCCTTCGTCTCATGCTTTTCCCAGAGCTCTTGCCTGGAAGGTGGCCTCCTTCCTTCAGCTCTGATTCTAGGCACAAACATTACTGACAGGAGCCTGTGGCAGCAACACTTCCAGGCTCTTAAGGAAATGGGCTCAAAGCTCTGGAAGTATGAAGGAAAGGTGCCACTTGAAAAAGATACGGAGAGGGATGTTTGAACCAGAGTATCTAAACTAGCTTGTGTTCTGTGCTCATTGTATCAGCTTATTGAGCTGAGCAAGATGAACAGATCCCACTCTCCCTGGGGATGTGACTTTGCGGGGCCTCTGTAGATTAGGACACCAGGCCGAGCTTAGGCCATGAATTGGTTTCTCATATTCCCACTGTCTTGGGCCAGAGATGGCACCTAGCATCACAGCAGTGATAACGGGAGCAGTGGCCGCTGGTGAGGGCCCTGGGCTGGGGATGGTCAGAATCATGAGCTGCGTATCTGTGGGGAGATGCAGAGGCAGTCTGGTGGGGAGGTTGACATTTGTTGCCCAGTGACATCTAAATGGAGGAAAATTCTGGCAGTTGCTATCGGTTTGCAGGCTCTTTGTTTGGCAGCACCTCCTGCTTGGGTCTTGCATAGACTCCATTTGGGAGTGGCTGGCTGCAGCCAGTGTCATCCAGGGGGCACATGGGTTGGGGAGGAGGGTGGATCATTCCAGATGATTCGGTTGCTTCTCTAGCAACTGGGCAGGTATGAGCATTTACTTGTTGTAATAAAGGGAAAATGGTATCATTTGTAGGAGAAAAACAATGGGTGTACTTTCTCCCAGCCTAAATGAGCATATATGTATAAAAATAGACAACTGTTAAAAGCTGGGATTTTCAAAAGACCCAAGCAGAGAAGTCTCCCACTTCCTGCATCTTCCCACTGCCTTCCATCTGAAGTTGTGATTGTCTCGGTATGAACCTGTGGCTTCCTTTGTGCACCTGAGCATGTTGTGATTCAGACAAGATGGGTTTCTTCGAAAAATCTTTCCCTCATCACTGTATTGTTGTCTAGGATCTTTTTGCTGATTCTTCTTTTCTAAAGATCATCTGGGCTCTCAAGGGAGCTGGTGTTTTGGGCCTTGACTCTTTATTGTGAATATCTGGTGATGAGTATTGCACCTTTTAGAAGATGCATGCAGAAGCAGGTTGATGTTCATCATTTCATGAGAGGGTCGTGATGACATTCTTTCTCGTCTCTGCGTTTCTTCTAGGTGTTGAGTACTTGCTCAGGGCGTGGGGATATTCGGGAACACCTCAGTAGATCTGCTTACTTGCTTTCCCACATCTCCAGGTTCTTAGCATCAGATTCCCTTCCTTTATCATTCTGTACTGTGGCCTCATCAGCGTTCAGTTTACTAACGTCTCTAACTCGATCACACCATTGAATTCATACTTGTTCTGCAAAGAGAAGTCCTAGGATACAAGACACTGGAAACAAGTGAGGAGGGAAACAGCAGTTGTTTTCTGTTTTTTTAATAAACATTCAGTTCTATCAGATGCATTTATGGGGGAAATATGGCACTTAATTTCTTAAGACCAAAAGAAAGAAAGAAACCCACAGCAAACCTTTCCCTACTGTCAGAGCTCTCCAAATCTCACAGCAATTTGTAAGTCATGTTAAGTAAGACTTGGCAGCACTACAACCTTCTGCACCCTTCCTTGTACACCAGGATAACTGGCTCTGGAGCTCATGGTCTGGGCAGCAGAATTTATTGCTGTTTCTTTTAATAATAGTTAAGCCATATCATCTAAGGTTTTCGGCTTGTTTGAGATGTGAATTTGTTTTATAGATTATAAATATACATATACAGTGTATGTATAAAGCAGAATGCCTGTCCTTCCTGATTATTTTTTGTACCATACTGTAAATTATATTATTTATTCTTTACCAATTTTGGGAATAAAAGGTGTTTTGGTTATTTAATATAATAAACAAAAGCTGTTAAACTTCTTATGTTTAAATTTCCAGTTCGACTTGTAAATCTGTTTTTATTGTGCATAAATACATACTAATACTTGATCTAATAATTGTTTCTGCTTTTTTTTTTAAAAAAAAAAAGAAAAAGAATCTGCACTTATAAAGCAGCCAGAGCAGAACATTGTCACCATTTGGTGAGCTCTCAGAGGACCAGGTGGGCTACCCACCGTGGGTCCTTTCGCATCCAAACCTTGCTGATGGTTTTGTTGGCTCGTTGGGTTTTGAGTCAGGACTAGGACAGCCCGGGCACTTTTGTCCAGTGTACGGTGCCTAGTTTCGATTCTTTTGCTTTCTCCTGAAGGAATCTCTGAGGGGCCCTTCCACCCCACAGTCCTGGCCTGGACAGCTTAGAAGGGGACAGAGAATTGCTGAGGGCAGAAGCAGGCTTCCTTGAACAAACATGCCATCTTCGGACGTTTTCATTTGGCCAAGTAGTGCAAATGCCTTTGACCTGGCTTGCAAAAAACAAACGTTTGCTGATAGGGTGGAAGGTCGTATCCTTTCGGAATAAAATGCAAGTGACCGAGCCGTCGGTCGCCTCCGGTCACGGCTGCTCCCAGGATTAAAACAAATGGAACTACGGCCGGCTCGGGCCGAGGGACCGGCGCCTCAGAGAACTTAGGGTTTTGTCCGGCCACCACGCCGCTGGCGCCTTCTCCCGCGCTGCCTCCCGCGCGCAGGACGGGCATCGGTCGGTCCCGTGCTTTCTGCCGACGGAGACCGCGCCCCGCGCCATCGGACAGTCCTGGGTCCGGTTCTGGCCGGCGGCCTCGCGCCCTGTGGGGACGCGCCCTAGGGTGGCTCCGGGGGCCTGGGCATCTCGTGCACCGCGGGCCCGGGGCACCCGCTCCTCAGCCGTGCCGGGTCCTGGAAGTCCGAGAAAGACCCCTGAGCCAAGCTCGGGGCAGCGCCCCGCTGCCGCGTCCACCTCAGCGCAGCGCCCGAGCGGCACCGCCCCCGCCCCCGCCCCCGCCGGGCCGCTGTCCAATGCCGGCGCCCGCCGCCGTGAGCGGCGTCTACCCCCACCAATCGGCTGAGAGAGCGGTGCGGGCCTAAGCCAGGCCGCCGTCTCGTTGGTGGCGGGCGGCCCGCGGAGGGGGCGGGTCCAGGGGTCGCGATAGGCTGTGGGCCCTGATTAGCGTCGCCGGGGTCCAATGGGCTCTGGCGGGGGGGCTATCTGCGCGGGGCTGGGCGGGAAGTGCAGCGCGACGGGCTGAGGGAGGCGCCGGGCGGCGGGAGACATGTTCCAGGGGTCCGAGAGCGAGGGTTTCCGGGCCGGTTCCAGGTGCGTCGAGAGGTTGGGCGCAGGGACGTGGCGGTGGGGCTCGGGGCTCGGGGCTCCGCGGGCTGGGCTGAGGAGCTCCGGCCGTCGGGACTCGGGTACCCGGCTGTGGGCCCGTCGAGTGGGCGCGGCGAGGCGTGACCCCCGTGAGAGGCCAGAGGCGCCCGCGGGCCGGCGCCGAGCACCCCAGGCGGAGCAGCCTCACCTGGCGTTTCCCGGGGCGGCCGCCTCATGCCGGCCGCGTGAGTGACCCTCGGGGAAGCGGAGCCGAGCGTCTCCAGGACTTCCCACACTTGTTTTATGAACAGCGCGTGCAGCGCGGGTGCTCACCGAGGGCCCCACGTCCACGGCTTCTTGTTTTATTTAATAATTTGTGTTTCCAGTGAAAGTTTACACAGAAATTTAAGTTTCCGTTCAACAATTTCTACACAAATTGTTCAGTGACAATGCGTGAACGTTCTCATTATTTCCCTTCTGGTTGTTCCGTTTCCATTAATCTAGTTTCCCTGCTCCTTTACCTTCTCTTGTTTTGTTTTAATGCATTTGTGGACAGTTTGGTCTCCTACCGGTGAATTTTTTTTAAAGGAGCACAGTCCTCACGGATGATAGTCTTTGTTTTGTGAGCCAGTCTGTTATTTAGCTACAAGGTGACCTTTGGGGCAAGTTTTGGTTCACGGTTTGAAGAGTAGCTCAGGGCAATAGTCTTGGGGAGTCCTCCAGTCTCAACAGGTCTAGTAAGTCTGTTTTCTTTCTTTCTTTCTTTTTTAAAGAATTTGGGATTCTGTTCCATAATTTTCTCCCATTCTATCAGGATCCATCTATTGTGGCCCGGGACACAGCTTTTGACCCTTTCCCCTGACTGTGCACACTTGGCATTCATTTTCTGAGTATTCAGCCAGCGTGAACCCCAAAGCTCATTTGTCGAGAGCACACTTTTCCCGCAGAGACTACATCTGGATTTGGCCTGTGGGACGGGCAGGGGTGATGGTGGTGCCAGGAGGCTTGGGAACAATGCCGGTGTGTGTGATGGGCGGGCTGCCAGGGACGGCGGGTCAGCACTCAGATCTGCAGTCCGAGGGCTCAGAGAGCCTGGGGCATGTTTGTGCTAACAGTTAGTACAGGGCCGACTGAATGCTGGAAAGTGCTGAATGGTGTTCTGAACCTTGTCTCTGGAAGAAGGTAGCAATGCAGGTGTTCTAGGAGACCGCTGTCTTCCTTTAGTCATCCCCACTGCCAGGGAGTGGGTGAGGGGTATAGGAAGGAGTAAACAGACCCGATTGCAGAAGTGGTAAGAGATGAGATTGGAACACAGATCTCCTGACTTAGGTTTCACATCCAGGAACACAGCACACCTTGTTTTTTTTTGTTTTGTTTTTTTTTTTAACTTTTAAAGAGCTTCCAAAAAGTCACTGCCTTGAAAACCTTATGGAGCACAGTTCTGCTCTGCACACGAGGTTGCCATGAGTCAGGTAGCCATAAACCGCGGGAGCGACTCGAGAGCAACTGATTTGGATTTTTTGGTTTTGGGCTCTTTGGGTATCAGAGATCACATAAGTTGGAGTTGGCAGAGACAACAAGAAGCCCTTTCGTGTGACTTGAGGAGCCAGCTTGCATTTTAAAGTTTTGGGTCTTTGAGTGCATAAGATTTTTCTTTATGGTGAGCCATATCTGTGGCCCAGCCTCACCAGGAAAAGTAGAGGGCATGTGTGTGTGGTGACTGTTAAATACTAAGTAGAAGAATTGCTTCAACTTGCTGAAAGGTTTTACCTTTAGACTTGAGAGAGTTGGGTCAATATTCAATAATATTTCTAACCAAATAATTAATCATTAATCCAGAGAACAATGACAATTACTCAGTCACATCTAGGTCTATATGTTTATGGGGCCAGAAGTTTATTCCAGAGAGGTCAGAGTAAATCAAGCAGAGTTTCTAGGGGGCCTCATGCAGCAGGGAGAGAGCCTTCTGAAGTCGGGGTTCCATACCAGCTGGTTGAGGAGCCACTTCCATGAAGTCCAGTTCCTTCTGGTTTGCTAGGTGCCTGGCACTGGGTGCCCAGTAAGTGGTGCTGGAGTTAGTGAATACACACCATGAGTGACACTGATATGCTGACTTCCAGAGCAACAGAAGTTAGCTGTCAAGCTGGCTCTCTAAAGTAATAGGTCACACATCTTTGAGGAATTAGGTTTTGGAGCTTACGAAAGGGAGAAAAATCTTCCTTTCAGGATGTTAAAGAAGGAAGAGCAGTCTTCTTAATTGGATGCTTAAATGTAATTGGAGTCTTCTGCTTGGGATCAGTTAGAGGCTCATGTTTGGTGGCCATCTTCGAGAAATCGAGTACCTAGACTTTTAAGATTCATGCTTTATTTGTTCTAAAGTGAATTGACTGGTGGCTGTGAGGTTACCCAGCCAGGTTTTCCTCACTTCCAACCCTGCACGTCTTTACATTTTCATTGAGCCATCTTTTGTTCTCTGATTGATGGACTAACTTGTGTTTAAGGGATTTTGAGCTGTGAAGGCATGACGCTGTAACCGTCATTAACCTAAGACTTTTGAACTGTAAAATTTATATTTATAAAGAATTTAATCCAGGTCTGTTTCCCATACTGCATCTCTACAAGCCCGACTGCTCCTCAAAAGCTTTCCTGAAACTCAGAGACAAGCTGCTGGAGAGAGAAGGCATGTGTCTGGACACTCTCTAGGCCTCTGATTTCTTTTGTGTATTTTTGAATATTTTTGTCAGAATATGCTGAAGGGGTACTCCCAAAGGGAATAATAATTAGAAGCATTCCCACGTTGTGAATTCTTCCAACAAAATGTCTGAGCTCAGTAGTGTTCCCACCCCCTCCCAGTTGTCACTGTCACAGTGCTGCCTCAGTGATAGTGAGCCTTGTGAACCTGAAGGGTGAGCTGAGCCATCCTTTGGGTTCTGTTCTCATTGAAATGTCTGTTTAGCTCTCAGTCCCATTCATTCAAGACCCTGGTTGAGAGCCTCTGCTACCGCCTGGTGCACCAAGGCTGACCTCATGGCCTTTGTCCTGGAGATGGCCGCTGCCCCTCTGGGGAAGCTTGATCATTGTGCACAATAGTCTGTCTCTGCTAAAACCAGGGCTTTGAACCGGTACAGTGCAAACCCCTGCTGAGAATTTGCATTTTTTACAAGCTCCATGGTGATGCTGATACTGCTGGTTAGGTACCAGTTCTGAGAACCACTAATAGAGCAGTGGTTCTCAAAATTCATTATACAGAAGAATCACCTGGGGATCTGGTTAAAATGTAGATTCTGATACAATATATCTGGGATGGTATCTTAGTTATCTCGTACTGCTATAACAGAAATACCACAAATGGGTGGCTTTCACAAACAGAAATTTATTCTCATAGTTTACCCACCCATTCACTACTGTTGAGTCTGTTCCAATTCATAGTGACCCCATAGGGTTTCCAAGTCTGTCAGTCTCTTTGGAAGCAGACTGCCACATCTTTCTCCCACAGAGCTGCTGGTGGTTTCAGACTACAAACCTTTCAGATAGCAGTCGATCGCTTTAACCACTGTGCCACCAGGACTCCTTCTCTCACGGTTTAGGAGGCTAGAAACCCGAATCCAGGGCGCCAGCTCTAAGGGAAGGCTTTCTCTCTGTCGGCTCTGGAGGAAGGTCCTTGTCTCCTTTCAGCATCAGTGGGCTCAGCATCCCTTGGAGATCTCCATGTGTCTTGGCATCAGTCTTGCCGTGGGTCTAGGAGGTTCTCAGCACGGAGACCCCAGGTCAAAGGATGCCCTCTGCTCCCGACTGTTCTTTCTTGGGTGGTACTGAGGTCCCCAACTCTCTGCTCACTTCTCTTTCCTTTTATCTCTTGTAAGGTAAAGGGTGTGACTCAAGTAAGGGTGTGACTCAAGTAAGGGTGTGACTTGAATAAGGGTGATATCTTGAGTCACACCCTCTAATAAGGCAGTGTGACTCAAGATACATCCCATCCTAACCCTGCCCCACTAACTTAACAGACAGCTCACTCCCAAATGGGACCATAACCACAGGCATAAATCCCTTGCCTTTGAGTTGATTCCGATTAATAGCAATCCTATAGGAAAGAGAAGAACTGCCCCATAGGGTTTCCAAGGAGCGGGTGGTGGATTCGAACTGCCGACCTTTTGGTTAGCAGCCGAGCTCTTAACCACTGTGCCACCAGGGCTCCAACCACAGGCATAGAGGCTAGGATTTACAATACATCACAAAATGGAGTATTACATCAGATCGCAAAATGGAGGACAATTACTTAATACTGGGGCTCATGGCTTAGCCAAGTTGACACATATCTTCGGGGGACACAATCCGATCCATGACAGGTGGAAATGCAGATTCTCAGCAGGGGTTCAAACCAGGATGAAGTAGTTAGAAGCCCTGGCTAGAACAGGCTTTTCTCTGGCACCACTTTCCTTTTTTTCACTCATTTTCAGAGTAAAATAAACTTCAGAAAAGTACGCAGAATAGTGAACGCTTGTATTTTCACCATCTCAAATTAACATTTGGTCATAACTCTTAGCCTCTTCCCTCCTGCACCCAAAGGTGCCCTTTCCAGTGTGGGCTCGAGTGCCAGGAACACTCAGAGCCTCTGTCGGGTCACTCCCCGTGGGACTTGCCCCCATTCCTCTCTGTCCTCAGGGTTGGGCGCAGCCTGGCCGGGGGTGGGAGCTCAGCGAGCATTTCGGGTGAACTGAACAAGAGTGTGAGGAGAGGCAGAAGGAGACTTGGGGGACTCCGAGAACATAGTGAGTGTGAGGGTCAGGAAAGCATCTTGGAGAGCTTTGAACCAAGACAAATCTCCCTGAATCTGATCCTGATCTGACATCAACCTGGGACATGGAGGGTTTGGAGGAAGAGCCATGTTTCCAATACATCAGTAGAAATGTGAACTCATGCTGCATGGGGTTGGATGTTAAACTCAGTTCACTTCTGAGGATTGCAAGTCTCCACGCCTCTTTTTTTTAAGAGATGGCTGTGGAGACCCAAGCGTGTTAGATCTGCTGCAACTAGCCCAGGAAAATATGGGGAACGTCATTATGCCCAGGCTCTGTGGTTTACCAATGCCCACCAGACAAGGTGCCTGACCTTAGAGCACCCCTCAGCCCTTTCTAATGTAAGCCTAGTTACTGGCCCTTTTTTTTTTTTATCTTTCCCTCGAATGAAAATCTTTTTTTTTTTCCTCCATCAAATCCTTTTTCAGGAAGTGCTGACTGCTGAGTGGGCAGGCTCGGCATATCTGCCTTCCCCGTCTTCCAAGCAGACAGGTCTGGGCACCAAATCACAGGTCCTGTGCCTGCCCGTTACTGCACTTGGCGGTGACAGTGCGGAGTGCGGCTTGGGTGCTTTTGTCCGGCTGTGGCTGGCACCTTGCCCACCCTGTGTGAAACACACACTGCAGTCCTGCTTCACATCTGAGAGTGTGGTGCTTCACAGTCCCATGGATGGCCAGGTGCTTTTGAGGAAACAAAAAACATTGTTAATACCCCATTCTTTGTGAAGCTCTTATTTTCAAGTACCTCCAACCGCGTGGAGTTACAGATTATCCTCTTGTTTAGGGGTAGTGAAACAGCATGGGCCATTCACTGGTTAAAACTCGGTTTCAGTAGGGTCCACTCTCATCTAAAATGCGTTTGAAAAATCTTTCCAGATGTTCCGAAAAGCTGCATGTGAATTCAGTGTGTCACCACCCTGCTGAAGCAGACAGATGCTCCAGGGGAGGCAGGGCCAAGCTTTGTGGCAGTCCTTAGTTCTTCACATGTTGACTCTGACTCATCACTTTAATAGTGGCTCCATCTTCTACTTCTGGAAATGTCCACTTTAAAACTCCCAAACAGTACAGGACAGCTTCCCAGGAGAGGGCCTTCAGGTGGCTGTCGCTGTTTATGACGGAGCGGTGGTAATACCGCTAGTCTTCATAGGTGTCTCAGTGGAGTGGGTATTTGTGGGATGCCAGTGTATTGTAGAGATGACATGTTCCATTTGCATCAGTCTGACATAATCAGTGCCGCTAGTAGGTGCCTTTTCTGATTCCTCGTCAGTTATACCAGATTTCAGGCCTGGAGACAATTACCCTGGATTCTGGGCCCCTTGGACTCGGTGGTGCAGCCCCCGCTCTAGGCCAGTGCTGCCCAATAGAAGTGTGAACCCCACCGTGGAATGGTACATTTTCTAGTAGCCATGTTTAGAAAAGGCCAAAGAATCAGCTGAAATTAATTTTAATATATTTTATTCAGTCCAGTATATGTAAAGTATTTCCACATGTGATCAGCATTAAAGAAGTGAGTAAAGACATATTTTGCGTTCTTCTATTTGTGCTGAGTTTTGTTTTATACTTGTCTCAATCGGGACTGGCCACATTTCAAATGCCCCACCACCACTGGCCAGGAGCCCCCATGTTGGAGAGCGTAGGTCTAGCCCCAGGGGTGAGGGGGGGCCGCCCCCTCAGTTTTTTTCTAGAGACCTGTAAGAGCCAATAGGAACCACGCTCCGGAACTGCACCAGCGGGGTTTGGATCCTCTCTGCTATGTCCTGTGTGGCCTCGGGCACACCTTTGACCTCTGTGTCTCAGTTTCATCATCTGTAAAATGGGAATCACGATACCTTCTTCCTAGGGTTGCTGTGAGGAGCAGGCAAACGTAATATGTGTGCAAAGTCCTTGCAGCCGTATTAAGCACTGAGCAATGTAAGTGACAGTATTAAACACTACTGAGTGCTAATTAAAACAGTATTAAACTCTACTCAGTGTGGCGGAATTGACCTGTTTTACGGAAACTGTCTAATTTTAATTTAAGTGAGGTTACAGGAATTTCTGGAAATTTTTAATATAACCAGCACACATAAAGAACACTGTTAAGGAGACCTTGAGAGCTAAAGGAAACTTGCCACGTGGCGGTCAGCTGCTCATGCCAGCGTCAGGTAACTGGCGTGCGTGTTTTCCATAGACATCAGGAAAGTGTCGTCCAGTGCTGCGGAGGCCCTGCACAGCGACCAGCTCCAGGCGCCCTGTAACTCGTGTTTCCTCTCTGCTTGTAGGGCCATGAAACCTCCAGGAGGAGACTCGAGCAACCTTTTCGGAAGCCCAGAAGAGGTTGTTCCTTCCAGTAGACCCAATAGGATGGCATCTAATATCTTTGGACCAACCGAAGAACCACAGAACATACCCAGAAGGACAAACCCCCCAGGTAGGGTAGTGGCCTTTGTAAATTCTTGTCCTTGGGCCTCAGCCTCTTCTCTTTGATGCTGCTCTTTGGAGGAAAATTTCTCTTTCCCTATATTGATCCTTAAAAATATTTTCGGTATAGGTTAACCTTGTAATCACAGTTCTTCTAGAACAAAAGAAAGGTCCTGTGCTGGGTTTTATTTTCTCTTTGAAGGTGGCTTGTGCATTCTTGCGTCTTGCATTCTCCTGCAAAGCTTGTTCCATCCTTAAAGAATGAGAGGCCAGCACAGGAGTCGGTGTGTCTCAGGGATAATGACGATCCAGTAGGCCCAGAGCTTGAGCTACTCCCCGCCCTGCCCCAACTCTGAGTTCAAATATTCCTTGACCCACCCTGGAGGAACAAAAGCAGCGGGTTCAGAAGCTAGTTTCTGTTTGTTTAGGGTTTGGGGTCGGGGAGGAGGAGGGGGTGGGGGTGTTGTTTCCTAATGTGGTTACGGTGGAGAAGCGGGTCTTCTTACTAAGCGTCCCGCCTTGGAATCCAGAGTGACAGTCTCTCTGTGGCCCAGTTCACGAGTGTGGGGCCAGCACTGACCAGCCCTGCCCGTCCTTTGTATCGGCAGCAGAACGACATGTCATGTGGAAGATAAGAGGCAAATCCGAAGCCCTTCTAGTGACCCTGGCTCAGCGAGAGCTGGTCTGGAGCTGTCCTTGTGGTGTGTCAGGTCTCCTGGAGAGCTGGGCAACCTGGAGGCGGCGCCGCTTGACTGATCTCCAAAGCCCCTGCACGGCAGGTTCCCTCCCGCCCATCGGGGAGCCCGGCCCCTGGACGGTAGAGTTAGGAAGCCTGTACTGTGTGGGGTCACAGATGTGGTGACAGCCGTCGGGGTCCCTGTGCCGAGTTGCCACTGCCCACAGCCCTGTTGTTCCTGGCTTTGTTTCCCAGCCCTTGGGGTGCCCTTTGAAAAGCCTGTGAAGAATAGCCAAGGGAAGGTGGAAGGAAACTGTTCATGGGTCCCCCGAGAGCTGAGGTCTTGCCCCGTTTCTGTATTTGGTCACGCAGGTAGAGGGCATGATTGAGAAAGGAGTGGGAGACAGAGCATGGACGTGCTACGGGGGTCACTGGTGACTCTCAAGGACAGTCCTAGACTGGCCCGTTCAATCTTCATCTCAGTCTCTGGGTGTGTTTTGCCAGTTGCCTGGTTTAGACCCTCCATGAATTGCTTTCCCTGTTCTCCTGGTAACAAGCGTCAATATCTGTGGGTTGTTTACTGTTTGCTCAGTGCTTTGCGTCCCCTTCCCTGGTCCCCGCACAGCCCTGCGAGACAGGTGTTGTTACCCTTCACAGGAAGGGAAACAGGCTGCACAGCTGGTTGGCAGGGCTATCGCCCTACTGTGTTTGTTGGGGTAAATTTCTCGAAATGGAATTGATAGATAAAGAGTATGTCAGCTTAAAATACTGATAGAATCTTCCGGTTGTTCTTCAGAGAGGCTGCCCACTTCTCACCCGTAATGTATGTGCATGCTTGTGGATGCTGTGTTTTTTGCTTTATGAAAACGCATGTCTTATTGTTTTCCAATTACGAAAGAATTTAGGCATCTTTTCCTGCTTCAGAAAAGGAGCCCTGGTGGCGCAGTGGTTAAAGCGCTAGGCTGCTAACCAAAAGGTCGTGGTTCAAACCCACCAGCTGCTCCTTGGGAGAAAGAGGTGGCCGCCCGCTTCAGTAAAGATTACAGCCTTGGAAGCCCCGTGGGGCAGGTCTATGCTGTCCTATAGGGTCACTGTGAGTTGGAATCGACTCGATGGCAACGGGTTTGGTTTTTTTGGTTTTTCCTGCTTGAAGGTTGAATTTATCTTTCAGTTAATAAAATGCTGAGTAACAGAAACAAGCCAGACACACAATGATACACAGGCCGTATGATTTTTTCTTTATGAAGTTCAAAAACAGAACTATATTGTTTAGGGGTACACCTGTTCCCTAAGTGTGTTCTCACTCCCAAAAAAAAGTGAAGAAGCCCAATCCCAGCCCGTTCCTGTGTCCTGTTATAATTCTCACCCATTGTAGCCATACTCTGGGTCACCTAGATTGGCTGACTCCTCAGAAGGCCAGTCTGCTTTAACTGCTCTAAACGTAGGCTAGCCCAGCCAGCAGCCCCTCCCGTGGGGAGCAACCCAGCGCCTGGTCCGGCTGGTCATCTGGGGCACACGTCTTGGGAGAGCAGCGGGGCTCTTACTGCAGCCAGGAGAACTGGTTAAAATTTAACTTTTTGAAAACAGAAAATACAAAATGTCAAAACACTATTAAAAAAAGAACAAGTTAAGCAGTCCTCCTCTCGCCCCTCCCCGTGACCCCATTTCCTGCACACACACACATAAACCAGCCCCCATAGGTCACCACTTTTGAGGGGGGCATGGGGTGATATCACTTAATTTCTGTATTCAGACAAGCAAATAAGAATAGCCCCTTCCTTTCACGTTAGAAGGTTGTGTAGATTGTTTTGTACTTTATCTTTTCACCGAGCAGTATGTCCAGGGGGGCTTTTCTTCAGTTCGTAGGCGCTGGCTTTCCTTCAGTTCGTAGGAGCTGTCATTAACGTTCACCGTGCAGGTGTGTCCCGTGTGCTGCTCTAGGCGTTTGACAAGAGCTCTCCCGTAGCTCACTGTCCTCACAGCCGTTTGAGGTAGGCCCTTTTACTCTCCCCGTTCTGCAGATGAAGAGTCTGGGGACAGAAAGGCCGAGCCACTGCATAAAGTCACAGAGCTGGTTAGTGGAATCCTCTGGTAGATGATAAGTTCTCGGCGCACCAGGTCTTGATTTCTAAGAGCCTCACCTCCATGTGGAGCTCTATGAAGAGGAGGTGCTTGGGGTTTGCTAAGTGAAGTCAGGATCAGTTGGTATCATGTGCAGCCATCTCTCTGCTCAGCTAGGATTTGCTTTCCACATCCAGGTCTTAGTCATCAGCTTTAACGAGTTATATCCCAGACACACACATTTTCATTATGGCTTGTCAGGTCACTTACTGCTGGCATCAAAGATGTTAAATGTCTGTAATTTGCCGATGTTTCCAGTTGTCACAGGAAGTTCCAGCCAGAATGAAGTAAGAAGGATGACTAATAAATGTTATTTTCCAGACTACAGGTTTGCCTTGAGTAGGGCACGTTCTTAAATTCACAGCTCTATGTGACCTAAAAATTCATCAGTTCTTTGTTTTTAATCTGCTAAAGAATGGGTTTGATGAGGAAAGCATGACAAGTCTGGGGTCACAGGACATTCTGGGGGAACGTGTGCGTTTTGTTCTATCTTACTTGTACAGGCCAGCCCAGGTCCACTCCGTTCTAGAAGGCGGGGGCTTCACCAGCCCCGGGTGTGGGGGTTGGGCTCGGCGTGAGTCTTTGGCTTCTCACCTCCTGGCCACTCAGCGAGAGGGCTGGAGCGCGGGCCTGGCACTGGAGTGTTCCTGGGAGCAGCCCCTGAAGGAGCAGGTATGCAAGAGAGGGTTAGGTGGGCGTTCTGGTTGCTCAACATTCTGTGATTGTTTTGCAGGCGGGAAAGGAAGTGGCATCTTTGATGAGTCGACACCTGTGCAGACCCGGCAGCGTCAGAACCCGCCTGGTGGGAAGACCAGTGACATTTTTGGGTCCCCAGTCGCTTCCACTTCACCCTTGGCGCACCCAAACAAGCCCAAGGTATGGCCTTCGTTCGGATAGCAGACGTGAAAGGAAAACACAAAGCCAGCCGGGTGCTCTCTGACGAGGCCCCAGGCAGGTATGGCATCTCATCAGGAACAAACAAGACAGGGGCATTGATTTTCCCAGGTGCTGTCATTAGTCATGGAGCCTCAGATCGCCTGTGAGTCACCCAAGACAGATCCCAGCCTTGGGGGGACGGCAGCTGGGCGCTGGTCTCCCAGCACGTGGGTGGTATTGAAACCCCCGCCCCAAGGGTAAGTTGCTGCCTTCACTGTACCTCCCTGGGGAGCAGCAAGGACATTTGTAAGACTGAGTGCACAGCAGCGAGTCAGTCCCTCAGGACATTGTTGCTGTTCCTGTTTCATTTCAGAAAGGAACAGCGGTAGCTCTGGGTGTGCTCTTTCCTCAACATGAGGCCCAGTTCTGGGACATGTGTGGGGCTTGGCTGATGTGTGGCCTGTGCCGTGGCACCAGGAAGGGCACTGGGGCATACGGCTAGCCTCTTTCCCTCGCTTCCAAGGTGGCAAGTACCTCACTCAGAGGTTACTGGAAAGCAAGAGAATTCTGCAGTGCTGTGACCTCGGCCGTGACTTAGAGGCATTGTTCAGGTCTCCGTGCACGCCCTGGGAGCAGGCTGGTCAGGTCTCCATGCGCCCCCTGGGAGCGGGCTGGGTCAGGTCTCCATGCGCCCCCTGGGAGCGGGCTGGGTCAGGTCTCCATGCGCCCCCTGGGAGTGGACTGAGTCAGGTCTCCATGTCCCCCCGGGGAGCGGGCTGGTCAGGTCTCTGTGCGACCCTGGGAGGGGGCTGGTCAGGTCTCTGTGTGACCCTGGGAGCGGGCTGGGTCAGGTCTCTGTGCGCCCCCTGGGAGCGGGCTGGGTCAGGTCTCTGTGCGCCCCCTGGGAGCGGGCTGGGTCAGGTGTCTGGTGCGCCCACTGGAAGCGGGCTGGGTCAGGTCTCCGTGTGACCCTGGGAGCGGGCTGGGTCAGGTCTCCTTGTGCCCCCTGGGAGCGGGCTGGGTCAGGTGTCCGTGCGCCCCCTGGGAGCGGGCTGGGTCAGGTCTCCGTGCGACCCTGGGAGCGGGCTGGGTCAGGTGTCCATGTGCCCCCTGGGAGCGGGCTGGGTCAGGTCTACATGCGCCCCCTGGGAGTGGTCTGGGTCAGGTGTCCGTGCGCCCCCTGGGAGTGGACTGGGTTAGGTCTCCGTGTACCCCTTGGGAGCGGGCTGGGTCCAGGGAGCACCTTGAGTTGATCCCAGGTGACTTTTCTTCACCTCCTGTCATCGCTAACCAGCCTACGCTTCCACCCACATCGTCCTTTCCCTAGAAGCTGGCCTTGGGCAGTGGAGGGGGGACTAGGCAGAGCTGGTAGGACTCAGGCAGAAGAGATAGGCCCAAAGGGAGGGTGAGAGGAGAAATGAGAGGAGGAGGGACGGGAGGCGGACGCGTGGCTGAAATGGAGACTCGAAGAGGGCCGTGCTGGCTTCCCTGAGCACTAGAGCCTGCAGCTCCCCGCGTGAACGGTTGTCTGTTGGTTTGAGGGGCAGCCGAGCCTCAGGTTTACCACGGCCAGGACTCACCAGTGATACAACTTAATACTGTTAACAGTCCTCCTAGCCTGCTCGTTAACTTTCCCACCCTTTATGGTCAAAAACACAGGTTCCCTAGAGCAGCATGTGCGTGTCCATTTCTGGAGTTTCTTGTACCTGGAAATCCCTGCAACTTCTGTTGATTCACATGCCAGAAGTCGGCATACACCAGAACTGAGATGGAAACATACGAAGAACTGAGGGAAAAGGAGGCTGGTGGATGGGAGGGTGTCAACAAGGCAGCCTGCTGGCATTGCTCAACGGTGACGTCTGTGCAGCCGTGGGCCTCTGGATTGTCACTAGACTGTGATATGCGAGCCTTTTTAAGACAGATGTGTCTTGTTGGAAAGCATTTTTGGGGCGTTGGCTACAAGCTAAACCTTCGCTGGACCAGAAATGTACTGAAAACGGCATGTCTCCACTATGGAGAGGACGGGATCAACCGAGCGCAAGGAGATGCTTCCTGCTGTGGTATACGTGCTCCAGGGGTGGCACAGCACCGAGAGTGCGCCATCAGCACGAGGGGGAACATGCTAGAGCTTCGCTGGTATGAAAGAAAGGTCTTTGAGCCAGTAGCACTGGGCACCTCCAGCCCCACTGGAGAAGTGGCCAGATCGAGGGCAGGGCTGAGCCTAGAGCGTCCTGCAACACGAGAGAGCAGGGAGACTGCCAGAGACTACGGGGCCGCATCAGAAAGATCAGGGACCAACAGGAGGAGGCCACGTCAGAAGGATCAGGGGCCACGGGGCCGCATCAGAAAGATCAGGGACCAACAGGAGGAGGCCACGTCAGAAGGATCAGGGGCCACGGGGCCGCATCAGAAGGAGCAGGGACCACGGGGCTGCGTCAGAAGGATTGGGGACCACGGGGCTGTGTCAGAAGGATCGGGGACCACGGAGCCACGTCAGAAGTATCCGGGACTCAATAAGTACGATAACTGCCATGATCACAGTCTATCATGTTATCTATCAAATACCTAAAATTCACGGTTCATAATGAAAAAGCCTGATTTGTCACCTTTGGAGAATGCCGGAGGACCAACTCGTTGTGTGCAAAGTGATAAAGAAAGGGCAGAATCAAGGACTAATGGTCATTTCCTGCAGGAACCGTACTCAGAGTTACAGTCAAGGGCGTTAGCCTTCCTAAAAGCACTCCAGCCGACAAGGAGGAATGGTGGGCATTGAATGTCCCCACTCTGTAAACGTGTGATGAAATAATGGATCTAGGCAGTGATCTCAGTGGCGGCTGACATCACAAAGGAGGGTGTTACAGACTGAATCGTGTGTCCCCCAGAAAATGTGTATCAACTTGGCTAGTCCATGATTCCCAGTATTGTGTGATTGTCCACCATTTTGTCATCTGAAGTGATTTTCCTACGTGTTGTAAAGCCTACCTCTATGATGTTAATGAGGTGGAATTAGCACCAGTTATGTTAATAAGGCAGGACTCAATCTACAAGAGTAGGTTGTGTTGTGAGTCAATCTTTTTGAGATATAAAAGAAGTGAGATATAAAAGAAGTGAGCAGAGAGACGGGGGGACCTCATACCACCAAGAAAGCAGTGCCGGGAGCAGAGCGTGTCCTTTGGACTGGGGTCCCTGTGCTGAGAAGCTCCTAGTCCAGGGGAAGATTGATGACAAAGACCTTCCTCTAGAGCTTTCTCCTGGTACTGATGTCCTGAATTTGGACTTCTAGCCTACTAGACTGTGAGAGTAAACTGCTGTTTGTTGAAGCCGTCCACTTGCGGTATTTCTGTTATAGCAGCACTAGACTAGGACGGAGGGGTAACCAAAAACCAGGGGCCTCGTGATGGGAGCACATCCTACCTTTGAAGCCTTGTCAGAAGATCAAGCCTGGGTCAGATTAAGCCTCGTATGAACTGACACCACAGTCCAAATAACACAATACAGGGAATTACGTGATAACAGAGGATCCTGTAGATTTAAAGAGGCTTAGGAGACAACGTCAGACAAATGCAACAGACCTTGGTGAAAACAAACCGCCTGTGAGACAGAGAGCAAGATCATTTGGAAAATGTGAACGCTGACTAGGTGTTTGCTAATTAAGGAACAGCTAATGTTGTAGTTCTGAGAATGTTATGGTTATTTTTTTTTTTTTAAATTTTTTTGAGAGCCACATCTTGAAATATTTATAGATGAAATGAAATATCGAGGATTTGCTTCAAAGTAATCCCTCGGCGGTGGGGAGTTGGGGGCTAGCTTGGGGGAAGAGTGTGGCTGAGACAGGACGGCAGTGCCTTGATGGCCTTGTAGCTGGCAGGTTCCTGGTACCATTCTCTCTGCTCTGTTAATAGTTAAAAGTGCCCGTGATAAAAATGCTTTTAGAAATATAAAACCACCCACTTATTCAGGGTAGAAAGTCCCCGAATTGCTCACTGACCCGATTGTTTGCTCGTTGCAGGACCATGTCTTGTTACGTGAAGGAGAAGACCCAAAACCGGACCTTGCAGGTGAGGCTGTTTCTGCCCCTTATCCCGCACCCCACTCCCCCCACCCCCGCCGCCCGAGGAGTTGCAGGTGTGCCCCAGGGGATGAGAGCACACAGTCGTCCCTCTGCCTCGTCCAGGCCAGTGAGCATAACTGGCCTGCCACGTCATTGCTGCCAGAACTGAGTATCTGCGTACAGCCAGGAAACTGGCTCGGTTCTTTCCAGGGAGCACCTTCAGTCGTTGCTCACCAGCCTAGGCCTCCACCCACGTTGTCCTCTCCTTGGGCATTGGAGGAGGGACCTGGCAGAGCTGGAAGGACTCAGGCAGAAGAGACGGGCCCAAAGGGAGGGAGAGAGAAGAGGTGAGGGAAGGAGGGGTGGGAGGCGGGCACGTGGCTGGGGAGGTGGAGCCGCCTCGTCACTGGGCTGGAAGTCCGAGTCGGAGCCCCCGCCTAGCTGTTTGAGCCGACTGCGGCCCTCACTCCTGCCGTTTCCCTAAATAGATGGCCAGGCCCCATGGGAGTCCACAAATTCTTCCCTAAAAATGTCCACTCATGGTATCAGAAAGCCCGGCCTTTGCTTCGTCAGACCCTCCAGTTCACAATGCTCCTCGTTCTGCTCAGGCACCCTCTGAGGAAGCCTCCTTGTTAGACTTGGGGTGGGAGAAGGGGGCGTGGAGCTTGACAAGCAGCATGAGGATGTAGTTGACTTAGGTAGGAATAAATCAGGAGTATTCGTAGTACCCAGGCCTGGCTCTCAGCCTAGTACAAGTCGCATCTGGCACTTACAGCAGGTCTTCTTTTCACATGATGTCGGCTGTTTTCTTCTCTTCACCCTGTTACCCCGTTACCGAGTAGAATTATTCGCAAGCTGCTCTGTGACACAGACGTTTTGCTCACGCAGCTTGACATCAGGGTCCCGGGCAGCCTCTGACCGGTAGTGTGCTGATTTGTCCCACAGCCACGGTGAGCACCCCTGCAAGAGAGGGGCCGGGTGAGAAGGGCGGCACGAGAGGCACAGACCCCACCACGGAGCCGGAGCTCACAGCCAAGGTCGACAGCCATGAGCCCCGGTTGGGACCGCGGCCACGCTCCCACAACAAAGTCCTGAACCCCCCCGGAGGCAAGTCCAGCATCTCCTTCTACTAAGAGAGGCCGGGGCTTCCCCAGTAGCCACACAGAAACTCAAGAGAGAGGGTATCCCATACTGTAGTTCCCTGTAGCCCGGAGGAGCGGGGGTGGGAGAGGGTTTGTCACATGTCAGAAGCTGGCTGCTCAGGGGCTCTGCTCCTGTCGTGAGAACTGTGGAGAGAATGGCCGCCCAGGCCCAGGAGACGCTCGTTTGTAATTCCAGATCTGAGAGGAGTTCCAGGGTGGGGAGGGTGCAGGCAGCTCTGAGGCCAGAGGCAGCGGGATCCTCCATGTCTCTGGAGCCTCAACCTACGGGCTCAGTGGGCGTCTGGGGGTGACTGAAACAGAAGCGGAGTTTACAGCGGTGGAAAGAAGACCAAGAGCTGCCTGTCCATTACAGCGAGATCAAGAACCAGACCTAAGCAGGAACACTGACGGGTGGGGGTCTCTGCATAAAACCTCCCCTTTAGATCCTGGTGCGAGTCACCCTTCAGGGGCACGGTCCTGTTCTGGAGCGCACCGCTGCTGCACCCAGCTGTCCCTTCACTGTTACCCCGGTGTCTTGTTCTGCTGCACCCAGCTGTCCCTTCACTGTTACCCGGCGTCTTGTTCTGCTGCACCCAGCTGCCCTTCACTGTTACCCCAGCGTCTTGTGTGTTCTTTTCTGGAATCGTCTGGAGTACGTCTCCCTGGCAGCTTTCAACCCAAACCAAAAAGGTGCATTTGAAGCGTTCTCTGCAAGTGTTCTGCTAGCCAGCTTTCCCTTTCCTCTTGTTCTCAGTCTTAGGCTTTACGAAAAATGTTTGTACCCTGATCCTTGGAGGTGCCCTGTTTCTGCTGTCTCAAACCTCAGCCCCGTCTTACATAGGAGTCTCAGCCTTTCCTTCATGAGGGAGTGGTTCTGGTCCCTTCGCATGCCGGTTTTGCTTGCGAGTTGCTCCACTTTCTCTCCCAGCCTTAAGTCTGGGCCTTTGTCTTCGCCATTGATGTGGATGGTTTCCTCCAGGAGTTACACTTCTTTCTAGACAGTCGGCCCCGCCCTCGGAAGGCCTTTTCAGTCTGTTCGCGGATGTCTGGGTTACAGGCTTGTTTACGTGGTCTTACCTTACTCCTGTAATCGGTTAAGAGGAAACAGATACTTGAGAACCGAGGATTCTTAGGTTGGAATTCTTTAATAATACCTAAAGAGCTATTTTTAAACACCAGCTTCCCATCAATGTCTTGATTCCGATCTGTTTCTGACACCTTTCCAGAAAAACGTCAGTTACTCAGGTACACCAAAGAGGAAGACAAGTTGCTTAGGCCGCCCTTTGTAAAGCTTTGCAGACCTCTGGGTCGTATTTACAAACGACCTTCTGGAAGAGACTGGGATCAAGTAATTTGGCAACAAAGTCGCAACTGGCCAAGTCCATGGTACTTGCCAGCAAAGATAATAGGCTGGCAAGAATCATGTCACCTTAAACTTCAGGCAAACCTTTCTCCCAGGCAACCCCTGAAGGGCTATGATCTTGAATCCCATACCTCCCTCATGCTGGACCATCTGTTAACAGGGGAGAAGGTTCCGGTGGGGGTGGCCATTGGTGTGAGCACCGACAAAGCCAATGTGAAGAGCTAGAAACACGTGTCTTTATTAAAGCTAGTGAAGCACCTGCTGTACTTGGCCACCAAGTGTCTGCAGGAGATCCCCGCCCAGCCCCTTCCTACCTGGCAGGCGGAGGGGCCACACGTGGCACTGCCAGCCAAAGATTGCTCTTCCCCTTTGGAGCCAGGACATGCACATTCCCATGCATCTGTTGCATACCGCCTGTCTCCAGCCTTCACATGGTTTGCGTTTCAAAGTCGTCATAAGAAAGTTGTTTGGAATCCAGAGCAGTTTTTTTCCCATTAAAAAACAATGTTGTAAATGGTAGTTAGCTTTTAAATCCAAATGCTCTAACTTGTTTAACTTGTAATGTCAATGAAATATTCTAATGATAGAAAGAACTACCATTTACAGCAGTGTTTGTTTACGAGAAAAGAAAAGACTTGTAGATTCCAAATGGGATGGCCAGGAAGAAGCCTGATGTCAGAGCTTGGCCTTGTGACTCTCCCTCCTGTCCCTGCTCCAGCCCACCAGGGGAAAGCTCTTCTGGTCTTCTGCTGCCGCAGGGAGTTCCGTGGCAGTGACGGGGAAACCCGAAGGGGAAGAGAGGCTTTGGGGAATGAGGGAAACATGAGCTTTAGCAGGAGCCCCTGGGCAGCAGTGTCGAATACACCTCACCTGCCTCTTCTCCCCGTCTTCCCTCTCGAGGCTGTGGGGTGGGTATAGAGTGCCTGGGTGGTCTGTCCCCAGGGAGACAGAGCCCCCTGGGGTCGTTTGTGTCAGAAGATGTTTTGTGCATTGGGGACAGATTCAGAAACTCAGCGTCATGTTCTCAACCTCTAAGCTGCATTGAGAAATTACTAGTCTGTGTTTGTATTAAGCCTTAAGACTTTAAGTGCATTAGGTGCCAACGTTTTTCTAGAGCTGTATCAAAACACACACCTGTACTCACATCTCAGTCTAATTTTGATAGGAACATTTTGTTATTTTTACAAGGCAGATTGGGTATAACAGGTGAATTAAACTTAGCAATCATGTACTCAAAAGTCTTTGCCTGTTTTGTGTCTGTGTGTGCACTTTTCTCAGTGGCCCGCCTCCAAAATGCCTCTGCTCTGCTTCCCTTGCTGTTTTTCATTGGTGAGGGGTCCCCCCCACCACTTTTCTCTTCCCCTAATGTCCTGAGAATAATGCCCAAATTAACCTTCTCAGAGGAATTGCACATTTAAGGTTTTTCCATTTGAAAACCAAAGACTTGGTTTTGAGCAGAGCACTGGGAACATGCCTGTGTTGTTTTCCAACTCCTGTGAGCTAAAGGTAATGGTTTTTTTTCTTACCCCACTCATTTTCCTAAAGAGCAGAGGTATGGATCTTGCCTCTGAGTTGGCTTTGAAACAGATGACAAACCTTGTAATGAGTGAGGGGCTGAGCTGATAGTTTGTCAGATTCAAGTCCTGTAGAGAAAGCACAGATACATTCTCTTCTCATACATTCTGTTTTCATGTCCCACATGCAAACTTTTAATATCCTTGCGTGCACTGTGTGGATTCAGGGTGTTGGGACTTCAGACCACCTGCCTGGGGAGTCACCCCTTGGAAGCTCCACGGCACTCTCTGCCTGCTGGGTCAGGGTCAGCCACAGTGATCCCGCTACAGAGAGACCCCACGCAGGTAGCCCGAAACACCCACCCTCATGTGTTCATCCTGAACATGTGTTGGAGTGCAGCGCATACGCCGAGCACTGGGCCGCACGCTGGCCACGTTGGATCATCTGCACACAGCAACCGTTTCCACGCTGCAAGCCCAAGTCTTGGAGAGTCACAGCCTGTCTCTAGAGGCCGAAGGGCTGCCGCCTCACGGACTGGGCCTTGTGCAGTGATACAGCTTGCTGTGTTGTCATTGTGTCAGGCCTCAGTGAGTCAGACTTCCCCAGGGTGTGTGTAGTTGCCCCCACTCAGTCCTACTCTGTGTTAGCCAGTTCCTCTGAACCCACTGTCTTCTTACTCCTCAGCATTCCTCAAGGACACTGTTAATGAGAACGTTCTATTTTACGTGCAACTACAAAGTGATGCCATCTGAAGTTCAGTCTCTGAAGAAATGAGAGGGACTGGAGGGGAGGCCCAGGTGGAGCAAAGCGTTAAGCACTCGACTGCTAGTCAAAAGATTGGCGGTTTGAACCCACCCAGAGGCACCTAGGAAGGCAGGCCTGGCGATCCGCTTCTGAAGGTCGCAGCCTTGAACAACCTTGTGGAGCAGTTCCACTCTGCACCAAGGGATTGCCGGGAGGCGGAATCAGCTCAGTGGCAACTAACAAACAACCACCTAGGAGCCTGGGTGAGTTTCTCAGGCACGAGGGGCAGATAATCAGAAATTAAAGTGAGAGTTTTGAAACTTGTATGTGCCCATCTTGCATTTAAGAGTCTTGTCAGGAGAGACGGGAAAAAAAAAAAAGCTGTATCCTGTATTTCCAAGTCTGAAAGGGAAGTATATTCTATTAGGAAGTAAATTCTAATTCAGTTAGGTTGGACTTCCAGGAACATACTAGCTACACTATTCAGTAAGCTTCAAGAATTATTCACACAAAATATTACATGACCTCACTGACGTAAAAATAAAAGGCAAATGTATAGAGACGAAAGTTTATCAGTGGTTACCAGGGGCAGGAGGAAGGGGGAAAAGGGGGGTTAACAGTGACAGAAAAATCACATTGATTAAGGGCAGGGTTGCACAGCCGACTATTGTTAATTGCAGTCAAAAAAGTTGAACTGGCAAAAGTTGTGTGATACATGTTTACAACAATGACAAAAAAAAAAGAGTAGCTGCTGAGGCTGCTTGTGTACAACCAAACCTCATGTGATTTGGTTCCTTGGTCTGGGGGTTTAGGGTCACGGTTTCACGGGACATCCCAGTTAACTGGCCTAATAACGGGTTTAATGCTTCTGTTCTGCCTCCTAGTTCGTTGCTAGTGCCTGGGGTCTTAAAAGCTTGCAAGCAGCCATCCAGGGCACAACAGTTGGTCTCTAGTCACCTGGAACAAGAGGAAGAAGGAGAGTCAGGAATAGGAGGAGGAGATGGAATGTGTGGCTGATTGCCTCCATGAACAACTGCCTCCTTTGCCATGAGACCAGAAGAACTGGATGGTGCCTGGCTGCCATTGCTGAACATTTTGATCAAAGATTCCACAGAAGAATCCTGACCAAAAGGGGAAAAATGCAGAACAGATTTCAAATTCTCATGGACTCTGTAGACTTGCTGGAGTCATGGAGGGTGGATGAACCCCTGAAATTATTGCCCTGAGATAATCTTTAAACCTTAAACCAAAAATAGTCCCTGAAGTTATCTTAAAACCAAACAATAGTTTAGCTTAACTAGGAAAAAAAGGTCTGCCTTGAGCATTATGCTCTTTTAAGAATATTTATATGGGACCAAACTGACAAAAGCAACTCGAAAGATTAGATGGGAATCCTAAGGGGCAATGAGTTTATGCTAATGGGGGAGGAACAACTCACTATAGGAGGGTGAGAATGGTTGTACAACTTGAAGAACATGATCCATGTACATGTAGAAACGAATTGTATGTTTTGCTGTGTATATTCTCAACAACAAAATACAAATTATTCAGGATATCATCTTGTTAAAATATTCTAAGTAATTTCAAATAACAAATCATGTTAGTAATCAAAATTACTAATTAATTGGATGGCCAGTCAGCTGGCCTCTCCCGGTGGTAGAGGGAGCTGCCCTTGCTGTATGTAGTCTGCTCCTTCAGGAATCCATAGGGGTTGAATTTCTGGAAAAGGCCTATGGCAGAAGTCTTCCCCTTTCCCCATACACTCACAGGCCTTCTCACCAGGAAGAATTAAACACACTGTTGTCCATTTGTCCTGCCTCCTCGTTTTGAGAATATAAAACTAATAATGTTGCGTAGCCTTTACTGCATGTTTATTATCTGCTAGAGAACAGAGATGGTGCTGAGTGCCTGTTGTGGATCAGTTCACTTAATCTTCAGAACATTCCTAGCAGATTGGTACCATTCTTAGGCTCAGTTTTGCAAGCCTGGGAATGGAGACTTAGGAAGATTGTCACTTAGCTAAAATCAGAACTCAGGCATACTGAATCTGAGACTGTTGGAAGTCTCCTACAATTTATCTCTTAGGTGAGTAAACAATGTTGCAAGGGAAAATTGTGTGAAAAGTACAATAGTACTTACGGTGTCGGCTGCAGGAGAGTTTGTGGCTTTGGTGTGGTTAGGTGTGGATGAAAGGCTCTGAGCTGACCTTGCAGCATTTCAGTAGGAGAAAGGCAGACATATGGGAGCATTTCTGAGCATTTAAAAAGGCATTCATGGACTTTTGACTGGAATCCACACTACCTGTGTGGCCTACAAAACCCCAGGCTGAACATATAAGTCTTGGGCTCATAATGCTCTCATGTACCCAGTGAAAGAAAATGCAGATCCTCTGGAGCAACTCATTTTAAACACAGGCATCAAAGAATTTCCACAGATTTAGTCTCAAAGAACACTCACTGAGAAGGAGAGGTGGGGAGGACTCTGAGCAAGAGCCTGCCAATACAGCAGACTGCAGGATCAGACCTGCAAAGTTTTTTAAAGACCTAAACACGGTGCTGAAAGCATAAGGAATAAGAGCCTGTCAAAACTGGTAGAATATAAAAGAATCAGATAGGACAAAGAGATACTAAAAATATAACCATTGAAATTAAAAACTTCTTTACAGCTGAAAAGAAACTGGGAATTCTGAAGAAGTTACACAAAATGCAAGACAGAAATAGACTAAATGAAGGAGTTTAAGTTAGTGGGTGTGGAGGATGAGATGGACCAACTCGCATCTAATTGGAATCCCGAAAACCAAACCCGTTGCCGTCGAGTCAATTCCGACTCATAGCGGCCCTATAGGACAGGGTAGAACGGCCCCACAGGGTTTCCAAGGAGCGCCTGGTGGATTCGCACTGCCGTTCTTTTGGTTACCAGCCAGACTCTTATAACCACTAGGCAACCAGGGTTTCCACTGGAATCCCAGGAGACAGTTGTAGAGAGGCACTACTTGAAGAAAAGATCTGAAACTTAGTTGCCATGGGGTCGATTCAGACTCATGGCGACCTCATGTGTGCAGAGTAGGACTGCTCCACGGGGTTTATAAGGCTGTGACTTTTCGGAAGCAGATCGCCAGACCCTTCTGAGGCACCTCTGGTTGGATTCGAACCACCAACCTTTCGGCTGGTAGCCCAGCGCTTAACCTTTTGCGTCACCCAGGGACTCCTGAAGTATGCACTACTACGCAGTAAACCTATAAAGGTAAATCAACGGATGGTCAACACGGTCAGCCTATGGTCACCTCTGGACGGAAGGGAGGCTGCACCCGGGTTTCAGAGGGAACGTTCTTTTTCTTAACCAAGGAGAAGGTGGGTACACGGATTTTGTCTTTAAACCACATAATCGTTCATATATACTGTTGAGATATATGATAGCCACTACTTTAAAAATCTGGGCCCGTGACGGGCGCTGGCTGGCAGCCAGCATCTCTCCCGCTCCCTGCGGCTCTGACAAGACGGCCGGAAGTGCTCCCTGCCTGGCTCAGCCGAGCTTCCGGCGCTGAGACGGCGTCTCCTACGTCACGGTCCGTGCGACCCCTAGCGGCGCTACGCCCCCGGGCTCCTGCGGGACGTGCGGGCACCGCCCCTCTGCCTGGCGGGCGGGCCTTCCGGAAGGCGGGCCTTCCGGCGGGTGAGTGACGGGCGCAGCATCAGCAGCCGCGGCGGCGGAGCCTGAGGCAACAGCATCTGCGGCGGCGGCGGCGGCGGCGACGGG